CAAAAGGTGGAAACAACCCAAATGACCCCAAATGGATGAATGAATTAATAGATGTGGTCTGTTTATCCACATCTGTCCATTCCATGGAATATCATGCTGCTTTAAAAAGCAATGAAAGTCTATCACATACAACAAGAGGAATGATCCTGGAAAATGTTCTGCTAAGTGAAATGAGGCAGATGGAAGACCAATATTGTATGACTCACCTTGTATAAAATATCTAGAATAAAGTCTGAGAGACAGAACATAGAGACAAGTTGATCGGCTGTTGGGGGACAGGAGAGCCGGTGTTCTTCTGCCTAACAGGTACCCTGTTTTGGTTCGGGATAATGAACTAGATAATGATAATGGTTATACAACTGAATTGTACACCTAAAATGGTTAAGAGGGTAGGTTTTGTTGTCTATAGTTTACCACTATTAAGAGAAGACAGCAGGCCCTGGCCCTGCACAGCGAGCCCTTAGCAGGGATCTGGAGAGTGAGACTCTGGTGAAACTGCGACCCTCAGGTCCAAGCACACCCTTCTTGACAGTGTGCAGCCCAGGCAGCTGTCTGGCGGCCAAATGAGGTAGCCCGAAGGTGACAGTCATCAGCGCCAGTCTCAGAAGTGGTGGCTGTGTGCGGGTGGCATTGGAGGGTTTTTAATTGCTTCTGAATTAATATGCTTACTTCTCACCCCTTGGGCGCTTGGGTTTAATTACTGTCTTAGGTCACATATGCAAATGAATCTGCCATCATTCCTGGTCCCAGTGGACAGCAGCCCTGATTACCAAGCCCTCCCACTTTGCAGTAAGACTGGCAGGAAGCAGCTGAAATGCAGCAGCCAGGCAGGCCTCTGGCTGAGCTGACAAGGAGCTGATGAAGGAGGCGCTGCCCCACATTCTGGGTCTGGAGAAGCTGCAGAGTTCAAGGTTGTGTCAGGGGAGTCCTTGCTACCTTAAGGCCCGGGGAGGTGGTTGTCAAGGTCGGAGAAGCCCCAGAGGCCTTGATGTCAAGAACCCTTGGGGACAGAGGACTTTAACAGAAAAGGAAAGAGCTGGGTAGCTCTCTGTCTGCCGAGAGCCAAAGGGCCCGGTGTTTCAGGCTCAGATGCTTGGAGGGCCAGGCAGGTAGGTCAAGGGGGGCAGTGTGCAGGGAGGTCTGTGGCTGTGGAAAAGAGGGGCCAGCGCTGCCTTCTGACAGTGTGGGCCCAGTGTATTTATTTTCCAGTTCTGCAGAACCCAGAAATTGACATTTTCACAGGAAATTGTTGCTTCAGATTTTGGCCACTAAGTAGAATTAAAACAATAAAGCAAAACCATAAGGTTCCTGGGTCAGGGATGGGGTAGGATTTACTGGGAAGGGGTTCAAGGAACTTCTGGGGGTGTTGGAAACGTTCTGACACGATTGCAGTGATGGTTACAAGTCTCCCATTTGTTAGAACACATCAGCTGTACACTTGAAGGTCACCTGGTACTGGATGCAGTTGTACTTCTACATGGTTGGTTGAATGGTGCAGGGAAGAGCTGTGCATGGCCCTCCAGCCTGGGCTTGCTGGAATGACTCCCACAGAAGGGTGGTGAGAAGGACCATCTGCCATCGATGGGGCAGTGACCCGAGGACACACCATCAACATCCACAAGTGCATCCATGGAGCAAGTCCCTTGAGCACTTGAAGAGATCCAAAAATTTTCCATGAAGGAGACAGGACTTCAGATGTGCACAATGATACCAGGTTCACAAAACCACCTGGGCCAAAGGAATAAGGAAAGTCCCACTCTGCATCCGCATGCAGTCGTCAAAGAGCACGACTGGATGAAGACTTTCCAAGTCAAGCTCTATACATTGACCACTTATGTAACTGCCTGTTACCACTTTAAAAAAGTTTAGAGACTGGGCAAGGAGTGTAGCTCAGTGTCAGAGAGCTTGTTTAGCATGTGTGAAAAGCTGGCCTCCATCCTACCCTTGAAAATAAAAGCCCACAATCATCATGGGTGAAAACTACCTGCTGGTTATCAAAGTTATAAAGCGCTCACAGGAACCCAGGGAGAAGTGCTGGGACCCACAGGGGCAAGTCAGTTTAACAAGACCCCTGGAACTTGACATAGCCTGAGCACTTTCCTTCCTTTCGCTGCGTTCTATACCTTCCATAGCTGGGCACATCTGCACCTCATTGTTAGGCTTAATAGCTTTGTTCTGAATGGCAGCCTAAGTGGATGAAGTAATTCGTAGTACTCTACATATATGATAATTGGTGGGTGGTATTAGTAGTACCATTATAAATTTTTTTTTAGATGTTGATGGACCTTTAATTCATTCATTTATTTATATGCAGTGCTCAGAATTGAACCCAGTGCCTCACACATGCTAGGCAAGCGCTCCACCACTGAGCCGCCTCCCAGCCCAGCAGTACCATTTTGTAGATGGGGAAGCTGAAGTGCAGTTGTTGAGTAGGAGAGCCAGGACCCGGGGCCACACAAGCCTAGCTGCATCCATATGCTCTGCCACCACGCTGTTCTGCTGCCATGTGGCCACTGTGGGTGCAGCAGGTTTGGGGGTCCCCACAGTCTGGAGGAGAGCTGAGCTGGCTGCATGCACAGGGCTGGTGGAATCCACCGCCAGGACACAGGCTCCTGGAGGGGCCCTCCCTCAGCCACCATCTTCCTGTCTCAGCTGCATTCTAGGAAAAGGACCAGGGCTTGGTCTCCTGGAAAGCAGGCATTGTAGTGCTGCCTGGTCCTCACCCACCAGGGTCGTCAGGCTCTGCTGCACACTGGAGCCAGCTGGGGGACTTTTAATTGGTCTGGGGAGAGGCCTGAGCAACAGGAGCTTTCCAGGGGGTTTCTAATGTGGCCAAATTTGAGAACCACTGCTTCGAAGTTTTAATTTATTTTTGTTCTAATGTCAGAGGATCAGAATTCAGAGGTCGGAAAACAACCACAGATGAGAAATATATGCAATGTGGAAAAGTATTTGTAATACAAAGTAAAAAGAAAAAAAAAAAAAAAACAAAAAAACAAAGCAAGCAGAGAACACTAAGAAGTGCCAGTGAAACCCTTTACTTTGAAAACACTTCCTGTGTGCCACTGCGGTCTGGAGACACACTAAATCCAGGCCAGCTCTCAGAAAACCTGGTATTCATATTGCCTGTGCTCCTTCAGACAGGTCCCTGGGAAGAGGCCCACTGGCCTGCAGTCCTGGCCAGCTACATCTGCCCATCAGTGTCAGGAATGTGCTTTGCTGGTTCTGGGTCAGGAAGCTCAGTCAGCTTTCCTAACTCCGGTGTCTTGGTGTGCTAAGCTACCCAGTCCAACCTGCAACCGAAATGCCCCTAGCCCTGACTTAGCAGCCTTCTTCTGGGGTTGAGTAGGTTGGAAAGGTGCTATCTCTACTTGCCCCTGACCTCAAGAGCAATCAGTGCCTTTATCTAGTAGTCAGAAAATGTGACATTAAACCAAATTTAAAAACACCAATGGTTGTCAACTTGAGCATGATCCCAGTACCAAACTAAGCATTACTGTGACATTGTCCACAGTTGCAAGCACTCAACCACTGAGCAACAACATCAGATCTTTTAATTTTCTCAGATAGGGTCTCAGTAAGTTGCCAAGGCTGGCTTTGAACTTGAAATCTTCTTGCCTCAGCCTCCCAAGTAGCTGGGATGACAGATTGTACACCACTGTACCTGGATCAGTAACCTTTCTTTAAGATATATTTTTTTAGTTGCCAATGTTATTTTATATAATGTTGAAAATCAAACCCAGGGCCTCACACATGCTAGGTAAGTGCTCAACCACTGAGCTACAATCCCAGCCTCAGATCAGTGACTTTTTTTTTTTAAAGGAAGGGGGGCGGGGAGAGAGGGGAAATAAATCTTTTTTGTAGATGGACACAACACAATGCCTTTATTTTTATGTGGTGCTGAGAATTGAACCCGGGTCCCACCAGTGCTAAGTGAGTGCTCTACTGCTGAGCCACAATCCCAGCCCAGTGAAAGGACAGCTTCCCCTGTGCCCTGCGGCTCCATCCCTGCCGACTGGCTGCCTGAGGGCCTCCCACTTGCTCCACCAGGCACCCCCCAGCACAAAATCCAGTTCTTTATGTGTTGCTCCTCATCGTGATGGTTCCTTGGGTTAAATCCTGACTGAAGGAGCCATGAACACAAAACATCCACAAGGGGGCCTCCTGGGCCTGGGGATGTGGCTCAAGGGGTAGCATGCTCGCCTAGCCTGCATGAGGTACTGGGTTCGATTCTCAGCACCACGTAAAAATAAAAAAAAAATAAAAATATTGTGTCCACCTAAAACTAAAAATGAATATAAAGTGGGCCTCCTAGTCCCCAACTATGCACTGTATTAAAATACAATTCAAGTTACTTTTTTTGACCAATTTATTTCAGGGGAAGAAAAATGTTAATATAAGACCTCTTCAAGGGGCAGGTAGCTGCCGCAGCCTGTTTACAGACTCTAACAGGTAGCAACCACAGTATTCCACCTTTCATTTAAATGTATTCTTCATGCGTGTTCAACATCATCCTACAACTGTGCCTTCTGCAACATGAAGATGAGGTGGGCATTAGCTGCAGGTAGATAAGAGCACTTTAAAGAACTTAGGAACGGACTTTGAGGTTCCAGGACCTCCTAGATCTTCCCCTTGCTCTCCCAAGAGCTGTTTTTGAATCATTCCACCTGCTCCCCGACCCAAACAGAGCCAGCAGCCCTGACCACTGGGAAGGGAGTTCCTCTGGCTTGCACAACCACTTGGTGGTGGCCTGGACATCCTTCAGGTCTCCTCTAATAGCTCCGCTTCTGTGCTGCCTCCCCAGTGGGAGAAGTCTTAACTCTGGGAACCAGCATGCCTTGGCACACTCGCTGTTCATGGACCTTCATCTTCCTTAAGGTGCATACGCCCTCCACAGACACAAACTAAAGCCTCCAGCTTTTCCAGGTTTGTACCCCACTGCCCTAAGGGCCCTAGGAACCATGTCTCTCTCACACATTCACACACACACAGAGGCAGTGTTCTTATGGGTCACTGAGGCTATTTATTTTGCATATAAAACCACTGGGGACCTTGCCTGTAGCCACACTGGAGGAGCACATAGTTCTGGACACTTGGTGGGAAGCAAGCTGAGAACGATGATTCAGGCCAGTCACATGATTACACTGTGAGGGTTTCCAACAGGGCTCTGGGTGGTCACCTTGGCTTCTGCAGGAGCACTAAGGAACTAGTGGTGGGAGAGGGGAGCTAGCCACCAAAGGCCCCACAAGCACTGGTGGGGGCTTGAGCTGTCCACGCTAAGTCAGGAGGAGAATCTAATTGAGGATCTAATCTCCAGACAGTGCCGAGGGCTCAGGCCTGCCCCAGCTTACTTAGCCAGGGGGTTTCGGAATTTCCTGCCGGCAAACTTCGCCTTGTCACCCAGCTCCTCTTCGATTCTTGGAAGGCACAAAAGATAAACGGAGAGGGAGTGAGGAGGGCTGGTCAACACAGGAGGCTTATTTCACAAGTGCAGCAGGGACTCCCAGAAAATGAGAATCCCTTCTGGCCTATCCAACTCATTCCTGAACCCGGCTGTTCCCAGCAAGCCAGGAGCAGCTGCTCCGCTCCCCTCCCCCTCCCCTCTGAAGGGCAGAGAACAGACACCAGTATGAGCACTTTTTGGAATATAAAATTCCTAACATTTTTTTTTTAAATGAGAGAATCACCCAGTTTCCTCAATAAACATCTTGGGAAAAAAGGAGGGGGGGAAATTATTAGAAGACACAAGGCACTATTTGGGTCCTGGTGCCCATAATGAACAGGAATCTTGAGATGATGGGGGGACAGAATCACTGCTACACAGGGGCCATATAATAGGGAGAGTGGCTTTTCTGAATGCATTGAAACCTTTCAGGGTAAAGTTTTGAAGAAAGAATAATGTGGGAGAAGTTTTAAAATAGATGTTCCTTTTCCCTCAAAGTGCAGAAAAAGTAACTTATAAAAGGGACAAGTGTTCCTGTGTCCTGGGACTCCCCAAGACACAAGGAGACAGCAAAGGGGGCCAGGGCATCCAGCAGCACACAATAGCACACCCACCCACCTGGCCCTGGTTTCCTATCCTCAAGACCAAGTAAGGTGGAACAGTTATGACTGTCAAAGGGATCCAGTTCTGCCTCCCACCAGAAAAGGGCAGCACGGATGAAACAGGCTTTTGCTATGGCCTGGCATCGTCAGGCACCTGAGAGTCTGTGCTGGCCCTGTGCCAACCCCAGGCCTGATTTCCTGTGATATGTGCCCAGTGCACACACCCCCAGACCAGAAGTGGAGGGCACCACGCTTAGTGCAGACCCTGGCCCCAGCCCTCTCAGGGAAGCCTCTTTACCTGAGGAGCTGGTTGTACTTGGCCAAGCGCTCAGATCTGCAAGGTGCACCAGTCTTGATCTGCAGGGAGAAAGCAAAGGCTGTGCTTGCTTGTGGGGCAACGGGAGGGCACCACAGTGGAGAACAATTTTTAAGGAGGACCCTAAGAACATGGAGGGGCAAAGCATCCAGGCAGGGCATTTGTGACCCTGTTCTGTTCAGGATTGTTAGCCATGGCAGCTGTACAGAGGACAGTATCAACAAGAGGCAGAACCATCAGCTCCCACCCACACTCGGGCTTTGGGTCTTCCCAGGGAACTGACATCTCAGGAAATCAGGACAAACCTTCTGCCTAAGGAGCCCTCACCTGCCCAGTGCAGAGTCCCACCACCAGATCGGCAATGAAGGTGTCCTCAGTTTCCCCAGAGCGATGAGACACCATGACGCCCCAGCCGTTGGACTGGGCCAGCTTACACCTGAAGTGCGACAAAACCGGGACAGCATGAGCTCCCTGCCCGCCCTCACCAGAGCCCAGCAACAGGGGGTGAAGCTGCCGTAGCCCCAGGTCAATCAAACCCTGGCGTTAGCCTCCTGGTTGGGGAACAGTCTGCTCAACACCCCAGCCCCCCATGGTGCCACCACCTACTTTGGTGTTCAGCTGTGAACCCTACTACACTTTCAGGGTACCCTAGTCACCCCTGCGAGGCACTCACGCCTGGAGGGACTCAGTCACTGAGCCGATCTGGTTGACTTTGAGCAGGAGGCAGTTGCAGGACTTCTCGCTCACAGCCTTGGCAATGCGCTTGGGGTTGGTCACAGTGAGATCATCGCCCACCACCTGGATGCCTGCACTATCCGTGAACTTCTGCCACGCTTTCCAGTCGTCCTGGTCGAAGGGGTCTTCGATAGACACCACTAGGGAAGGAGACACACTGTCAGTGAGCTGGCCTCTGGGCCGCACAGCTGGAGCCCTGCTCCTCGGCTCACAGCCCCCGCTGCAGGCCTCTCACAGGACAGACAGTGGCTGTGAGAGGAAAACACTGCCTACCACAGCTGCCGCAGCACAAAGGTGGCTAGCCTGGGCCCATAGGGTTTTTCTCTTAAAGGGGAATATTTACCTGCCTCGATGGCAGGTTTATGTAGTATCACTGAGAATAAGCACACAGGTAGAGCACCCATCCATTATGCACGAGGCCCTGGGCTCAACCCCCAGTTCCACAGTATTTTTAAAAAGCACGAAGGCCTGAGTTTGGGTCTGGGCTCAATCCAAAGTTCCCAAGTGCAACAATTAACTAAGGGAGTTAGACTTCTGCCCCACCAGTTGCTGTGCACCCTTGGGCAAGTTATCATAACAGTCTGTGCCTTCAGTTTCTTCTGCAAAACGGAAGGGGCAGTCCCTATCCTCTGTGCAATAGGTACAGCACAGCCTGCTCACAGGGCCACGAAGGACCCACAGCTTGGCTTCCCCCTGTGCGAGGGAGTGTGGACTGCATCTGCCCTCTGTGGCTGCGGTGACAGCGTCTAAGGTGCACACCTCTTCACACGATGTCCCTGCTGGTACTGAAAGGACCATGTCCTAGAGTCCTCTCCACAGTAGGAACCACTGTTATGTGTGCTATGTTCATTACCCAGAAACCCCTGCTTGGGGAGGCATGTGGGCATTCCGCAGAGCACTCACCTGGGTAGTTCTTGACAAAGGACTTGTACAGATCAGCCAGCTGGTCAGGTGTGATGTACCTGCTGGGGTCATCAGGAGACTTGAAATCCAGGTCATACTTCCCAGATCTGTAGAACTCAGAGGCGGCCACATCCATGCCGATGACGACCTTGTCAGTGTAGCCAGCCTTCCCGATGGCGGTCTTCAGCAGCTCCAGGGCTGGGGAGAGGAGCAGCAGTGTGGTAACAGAGACAGTGGCCACGTGGGAACCAGAATAGGACCAGGAGCTTGCCCCAACTACCAGCTCTGAGGATACCAGTTATTTCCTTCTGTCCCTCAAGCATCACCTAAGAAAACAGCCCTTTCTCATGGACAAATGCTCTCAAATTCAGCACCTAGGACAGCTGAGATGTCCAGGATACAGTTACAGTGAGACTAGCAGAGATCAGCTGTACCAAGGACAGGCTTTAAATAGAGCCGAGGCTGGGATCCAAGAGGGAGTCCTGGGCAGCAAGGGCCATCTCCAGGCTGTTCCACCGAGATCAGGACTAAGGGCTGCCTCATAGCCCCGAGGCTCCTGCTCAAAGACCCCCTCCAAGCTCTTAGGTTAAACCATTCAAAAGGAAGGAAGCAGGCTAGGGGGGTGGCTCAGTGGTAGAGCTCTTGCCCAGCATACACAAGGCCTGGCTTTGATCCCCAGCACCACCACCAAAAGAACAGGAAAAAAAAAGGGCAATGTTCAAAAAGACACACACTAAACATCAGGGAGAATCTGCCCTGTACAGATCTCCCACAACTAAACCAAGGCAGGACCAGGGTCTCCTCTTAAGCTTCCTGTGGCTGTGCATGCCTGCAATCCCAGCTACATGGGAGGCTGTGGCAGGAGGATGGCAAGTCTGGGGCCAGCCCAGGCAGCTCACATCAGCCACAGCCTCCTAATTGGGTTCTACCACCACTGAACTTGCCCTGTGCACTGATGGGAAGGAAGGTACTCCTTTGCCTTCTGGTCTCTGGCTTATTTTGGCCCCTACCCAATGAGTCCCCAGATGGAAACTTCCCTCCCAACCCTGTCCACAGGGTCTTACTCCTGCGCCCCAATGGCAGGTCCTCCAGCATCTTTACCTTCTTTATTCTCCAGAATGTTAGGAGCAAACCCGCCTTCATCACCCACATTGGTGGCGTCTTTCCCATATTTATCCTTGATGACGTTCTTCAGGTTGTGGTAGACCTCTGCTCCAATACGCATGGCCTCCTTGAAGCACCCAGCGCCCACAGGGAGGATCATGAACTCCTGCATGGCCAGCTTGTTACCAGCGTGAGAACCACCGTTGATCACATTGAACGCCTGCAGAGAGGTACCCGCAAACCCTCCAGTTACCATCTGGGTCACAGAGGAGGCAGGCTCCAAGGATGGCTGTGGAATGCTCACTAGGACCTGAGAACTGCGACAGTTCCCATCAGGAGGAGCCGCTACACGAGTGCACTCTCACCCTGACAAGGAAAGCACTGCTAGTCCCAAAGAAAGGCCTGGGCACAGGGAGACGGGAGGTCACTGATCATGCACTTAGCAAAGGGCAGAGGGCTGCTCTTTGAGGCTGAGACCTTCAGGGCCCCCTTATATCCGCTGTGCTGGGAATCACGTTTAGGAAATCAAGGCACAGGGGCTCTTGTATCCCCAGGAAGAACTCCCACCCCCCCTATTTAAAAAGTTCCAACGAGCCACTCACCGGAACTGGCAGGATGACTTCTGAGTTGCCAGCCAAGTCGGCGATGTGGCGGTATAGGGGCACCCCCTTCTCTACAGCACCAGCTTTGCAGACAGCAAGGGACACACCCAGGATAGCATTCGCACCAAACTTAGCTGGAATGGAATTAGTTAAATTAAGGGGCTTCTGATTCACCAAACTCTCTGTCACTGGCCTTCACCTGTGAGTCGCCCCCCGCTGTGCTACCTCAAATGGCATTTAGAGCAGGTAGGTTCCTTTCCTGATCTCTCATTCCAAAGTTTAAATGGCATGTCACATGGACCACCTATTTCCCAAGAGCCTCTTCCTGCTGTCTCCTGGTTATACTCCAGAATCTAGCATGTGACTTCTCAAGGTGAGGCAAAGAAACAGAAGAGTCAGCCTGTAACCAAGTTTCTAGTTCTGGATTGCACAGCCTCTTCCTGAGCTTTTAAAAAGGTCTCCAGGAGATCCCAATCATCCCCAGCAAAGACTTGGTAACTCAGGCCACTCACATTTGTTTTCTGTTCCATCCATCTCGATCATCAGTTTGTCAATTTTCTCCTGCTCCACAACATTCAGTTTCTGCAGGGGAGAGAGGAGGGTGAGGGCCAACCACAGAATCTTTGCTCTCTGCCATGAAATCCATCAAACTTTGGAATGGTGCAGAGTCACAATCAATTCTGTGCTCATATGGTAGTATGTACTCAGTGTGTAGGGGCCATGGGTCCTCTCCTCAGCACCAAAAGAAAACAAAAAACAAATACCCAGACTGCCTTTTACTTGCTTTATGGTGTCTGGCATTTCTCTTGGCCAACAATGGAGGCTGTACAGCCTACCTCCTGAGTCCAGGGTCACATACACCAGACAGACTTGCCTGGCACATGCTATGTAAGCTATTAATACAAACAAGAGTAAGTCTTTAGGGGCAATAAATAACAAAGCTCACTGTTCACTCAAATAAGCTGGGCCTTGCAAAAGCTGGGTTTGTGGCTGCCTCTCTTGGCTAAGACCAAATGACAGCCATTCTCTGATGGGATTGTGATTTTTGCAGGTTGTCTAAAACCACTTAACGTAAGTGTGAGACAAGCACCTCACCATTGAGCTACCACCCCACTCCCAAAATGAGCGCCTTGAAAGCAACAGTTTTGGGACTGGGGTTGTAGTTCATCAGTAGAGTACTTACATAGCATGTTGTGAGGCACTGGGTTAGATTCCCAGCACCATATAAAAAATAAAGGTGACCATCTACAACTACTTTGGCAACTTAGGGAAGTCCTAAGAAACTTAGTGAGACCCTGTCTCAAAATGCAAAGGGCTGGGGATGTGGTTCAGTGGTTACGCACCCCTGGGTTCAACCCCTGGTACCAAGATAATAAATTCAGCTTCAGCACTGTTTTAAAAACTTTATAAAAACTTTGTGGCTCAAGTGGTAACGTGCTTGCCTGGCATGCGCAAGGCGCTGGGTTCGATCCTCAGCATCACAAAAAAATAAAGATTTTGTGTCCACCGAAAACTGAAAAATATTTTTTTAAAAAAACTTTATAATCCAACCATAATGATGTATGGTTTTATATGTAATGTCCCTTACATATCCTCATAAACAATTCAGCTAAAAGTTTTCCTGGAGGGGCCCTGGCCTTAGCCTTGCCATTTGAGGGCACAGAAGGGCAGAACAAGGAGCATGAGGAGGTGCTCAGGAGACCAGAACAGAGGGTGATGTAGGCTGAGTGGTAATGAGGAAATTTCATCTAGGGACTCACAGGTAGGACTAATTAGACAGTGCCACAAAGGCCAGAATAAGCAAGTCGGAGACCCTGAAGGCAAAGGAACACCCTTTTCCCATCGGCACACAGGGCAGATGCGGAAGGACCCGATGCCAGGAGAAGCAGGAGACTGCTGTGGCTGGTCTGGACAGCGTGAGCTGACCCTTCCCATCTGGGGAACACAGCAGAGAGAATGAAGGGCCACAGGAAGTCGAGACAAAAATCCCTGAGGTTGGTTGTCAGGTCCCCAGCCCTATTTTACCTACAGCACTTCTCCTTTTGTTTCACCTACTGAATTTGTGTTTTTATTTAGGTACTGGGGATTTACCACTGAGCCACAGCCCTAGCCCTTTGATTTTTGAGTCAGAGTCTTACACACACGGGCCTCAGGTTCAATCCCTAGCACTACAAAAACAAATACAAACAAACAAACAACAAATCTGGACCTAATTTCTATCAAGACAGTTGCAGGGAAGGGGGTGGGGGAGAAAAATCAAGGGCTCTGGAGTGCTCTTCATTCCTCTGGTCCAGTTCCAGATGCTATTAGAAGTGGACACTAGACAGGGAGCAGGTTAGATTGTTCATGCACAAAACACTCCCAAGCACAACGGGAATCCAACTGGCTTCCACAGCTCTCAGAATAAGCTCTGTGAACAGAAGAGGCCCTGGGCCTGGAACTTGCCCAATTGGTACTGATGTGCATTAGTTACTAGGAGAAGGTCCTACCTTGCTAACCAGGGCAGGTGCAATAGTTTTATTGATGTGCTCAACAGCCTTTGAGACACCTAGAAGGAATAATCAAATCAAATTACATTAATAAATACAGGCTTGAGCAGCACTGCTGGAAAAGCAGTGGTTATGCAGACCCAGAAGACCACCAAGACCCTCCTGACCTCTTGAAAATTCCACCCCAATTCCCCTAGAATCAACTTTCCAGCCCAGTCTGAGTGCTCTTACCTAGGACACCAAGGGGTTAGAGCTGCACAAAGAGCAACCAGCTCAGAATATTCTGAGGTTAGTTTGCAAGACCATGCACTGGAAACACCAGCCGCACACTAGACGATGCCCAACGGTTACCTGAGTGCACAAGGCTGGCGCCAGGAACTCATTAACATACTTAACGGGTCTGGAGACGCCTGCCCAGTAGAGGTGGACATAGAAGGAAAGAGAGACTCAGAAGAGAAGAGGCTGTAAAGGACAGGATGGGACAGAGTAGAGACAGGAGGGCCAGGAGTGTCAGGGTCTGGGTGTATCTTCTGATGCTGGCCTACTGAACAGGGTAGTATGCCTACGTGGAGACAGCTCTCACCAAGTGGGAGGGGACACACGGCCTTCCCTTCTGCTGTGTTCCTCAGCCAACTTCACAACTGCCCTTCCCTGTGGCCCTTTTGGATATTCCCCAGTTGCTATTCCCCTGAAATCTTAATATTCCAGATGTGCTATAGCACCTGTTTACGATTATGTTATAAATGTCTGCCCAACCCAAATGAACCAATTCTCAGATCCTGAGGACCATTATCACCCTGTTGAGAAGACATAGTCTAGCCCTCTGTGCTTTGTTGTGACATGGGTACCGGGCTTCCATCTCCAGAAAGGTCAAAGGTGCATAAAAACTAACAAGTCAAACTGCACACAGTCAACCAGAGTCTGCCTAAGCCAGAGCAGTGCTTGTGTGAATCAAGTCCACAGAAAACCAATTGTAATGACTCATCAGAAGGCTCCTGTCAATGGCAGGCCTGGGTCAGAAGGCCCAGATGCAATGGGAGGAGGGGAGACATTCCCTTGGTAGAGGCTGCAGGCCTTCTTTTCATGCCTGGGGTCTGTGGCCTGACTAGGAAGGAGTATTCCAGACCGGACAGAAGAGCAATAAATAGACAGAAGCACTAAAACTCCTGGCCCAAATTCCCAGGCTTGGGAAACCCAAAACCAATAAGCCAGCTCTGCTGGCTCTCCCATACGCTGGCACAGTGCTTATTCTGACTATAGAGGGGATATACTACTCATTACCCCTCAAAACAGGGAGAAGGGGTGGGTTTGGGAAAGGGCAGGAGGGGGCTAGGGACAGGAAGCTAGCTCAGACTCACTGCAGAGGTAGGTGTGGGCTCCAAGCCTTACCCTTCCCCATGTAGCGAGTTTTGTCATTGTCCCGGAGCTCTAGGGCCTCATAGATACCAGTTGAGGCCCCACTGGGCACAGCAGCTCTAAAGAGACCTGGAGGAAAGGAAAAAAATATATTGCAATTAAGAAACAGAGCAAGAACACAAGTCCAAGTTCCTTCCTACTCACGGGCAGCATCTGTCACTGGGAAACACTGCACTGTTACTTCCTTCTACCGTCTGGGCAGCCCCTACCGCAAACCACAGGAGCTCCTCAGACCTGAATGTGCACATAGGCAAATGCAGACACAGGAGGAAGTCAAAGGCCTGCATCTCTAACAAGCCTACAGCTGGTGTGTGGGCCACTGGAAGCTCTGCCCAACAAAAACAGAACTGGAGCCAGGAAGGGAATGGAAGATGTTCTATGGCTCATTTGTTTCAGTTTGGACAGGGATCAATGCTATTTTGGGGTTCTCTGCCCAACAGGAAACTGGAAATTAGGGTGGACCGGGGAAAAGAAGGAACAAAAGACAATAAAAGGTACTAGTTCAGAAACACCAGGTAACACTGAACCACAATCTTGCAACTACAGAAACCAGCCCCCAGGCTCTTCCTGGAGAGGCACAGGGATGGCCACCTCTGGACTTTCTCAAGTTGTAAGGAATCCCCCATCTGAGGGCTGCAAGGGGCTGGCGAGGTGTGGGGACATGCAGGCAAATGGGTGACGAGGGAAAAACAAACAAACACCACCAGAGTTTAAACCTGGTGATCTGCAATGACTGACTGATCAGCAGGACACAGCCAGGTCACAACCCACCTGCCACTGATCAGGGAAGAAGAAAGCAAGAGTGAGTGGAGTCCATGGAGTCTGGGTGAGGACACAGTGAAGTGGGCTCAACGACTGAAACAAAGCACCACTCTGGTGGGGAATGCTGATAGTGGGTGGTGGTGGGGGGGCCCTGAGTGTTTGGGTGGGGCAGCGCTTACATTTTGCTATGAATTTAAAGAAGCTCCAAATATGTCAGAAAAAAAGAAAGGTGGGTGGGAACTCCTAAATCTATCATCTCGGGGCTGGGGATGTGGCTCAAATGGTAGCGTGCTCGCCTGGCATGCGTGCAGCCCAGGTTCGATCCTCAGCACCACCAAGAACTGAAAAAATAGATATTAAAAACAAACAAACAAACAAAAAACCCATCATCCCGTGTTTTTTAAAAGATGCCCTCTCCCAACAGTCTTCCAGGGCTTGGCGTCTTTTTAAAGTCAACCAATTTCCAAGTGGAAAGTTCCACCTGCTGAATGAGCCAGGTATCTCAAGAAAGACTATTCATAGCATCCTACAAGAACCCTGGGTCTTCCCCACAGAGCAAATGCCTAAAAGAAACCAGACTGCCCACCACAGGCTCTTGGGGAATGAAATGAGACTCCAGAATCCTCCGTGTTGGGAGGCACTGGGGGAAGACAGGAAGGGAAGGACTGGGTTCCAGTTCCAGGCTTGTGACTCAGCTCTGACTGGCAGGCCCTGGTGAGCTCTGCATTGCTAAGTGAGATGTTGCCTGAGGCTCTTCCAACCACACCCACCACATCCATGTCATGTATAAAGCAGCCAGGACACTGGTGGAGGTGACACAGGGCTACAGAGAAGCACTGGATTTTATTCCTGAAGTGGAATTTTTTAGGAGTCCCCATGTCAATTCTTTCTTTACATGGGAAAACTTCCCAGGGGGACTTACAGCCAGGTGACAATAAGAGCCTCTGAATTGTCCCTGACCGGGGGCTCAAGAGCAATGGACAGACACACCCCTCCCCTTTAGCCTCTCAAGGAGAGATCACCAAATCACACTCAATCTGCTTATTTGGTCACAGTGAGCTGTGCAGCCAACAGCAAGTGATGGGACCTTTTAGGGACAAGGTCTCAAGGCACCACTGACCTTGCATCCAGCAAGAATTTGCTTTAATATTAAGAAGCACTGAATGTGGTGAGGAAGCCAAGGCAGAAGGATTGCAGCTTTAGGCCAGTCTGGGCAACTTAGTGAGACCCTGTCTCAAAATGAAAAATTAAAAATTAAAAAGACCAGGACTTCTTGCCTTACAATCCCCTGATGCTTCAGGAATGTGTCTAGCACATACACGTGCAGACCAGTGAGAAAAGCTGCAGCATTAACAGGCTCATCATTGCCATCATAAGGCAGATTTTTAAATAAAGCATGGTAGAAGGAAGTAAGGAAAGAAAGGTGGCACATACCTTTTGAGGTGTAGAGGTCCACTTCAACAGTGGGATTCCCACGAGAGTCAAAGATCTCCCTGGCATGGATCTTCAGAATAGACATGGTGAATCTCTGTGGGGAAACACAATCCATATTTTCCATAAAACACAATGCAACATTTGCTCATTCATTTAAAGGTTCTGAGGGCTCCTGGACCAGAAGGGTCTGCACTGGACAAAACACTGGATGTATGAACATTGCTTAGTGGAGACAATCCTGCTGGAAAGCAGTGGGAACTGCTCCTCAAAAATAAGTCAGAGGTCTATGGGTGCAGCTCAGTGGTGGAGCACTTGCCTTCACTGTTCTAGGCCCTGGGCTTGATCCCCAGCACTGGCAAAAAAGAAAAGCTGGAGAATGGGGTAGCCTCGCATGTCACTCAGCACAAGCAGACCCTGGTTCAATCCCCAGCACTAAACAAATGGAGGAGGAGGGAGCAAAAACTGAAACCCAAGAATGTGTGCACCAGAGAGAAATAAATCCAACTGTTAAGATTAATGTGTGCTGGCATGCAGAATGTCTCTGAAATGGGTCACTGTCATCAGTTAACAATGAGGGTTGGCCTGGGAAAGGAAAGGGACCAAGAACAAATAGCTAGGAAGGAGGGACATGAAGGTCACAAGCAAAACCTTCTAGGATAATGCCAAGAGGGAGGCAGGAGGGAAATCTGGTTTGTAGTGTAATGCAGAATGAAAAGTTTAGGGCATGGTTTATTAAATTAAAATTGAAGTAACAGTAGCAGGTTGAATTAGTAGAAATTTGAGAATTAGAAATATTGAGTGTGGAGGCCAGGAAAAACTGCTGTCACTTTCTGATTTCGCAGTATTGGGTCTTTAGCAAAATAGGAGATATCATCTCCTCTCAAAAACTTAACTGTGAATGCTTTGATTTGTAAAAAGAGGAAAGGTTCTGTGAACACCAAGGGATGAAGCCTTCTTTGAAAACATCTTTAAAATAATAATGAAAGTCCTAAAAGAATGCCTTTTCTTACTTTTTTCCTTTGGGGCTCACCAAAAAAGAAACTAATCCAACAATCTGTAAAACTGAAGTGGACAAGAGGAACCAGATTAGTGTTCAGGAGCCATTATCTAGCTGGACCCCCCACCGACATCTCTGAAGGGTTCTGAGGAGAGAGGGGCATTTTTTCTTTTAAACTTTTAGAATTAGATTAGGAACCCACTTTTGTGGTTTTGTTGTGGGTGCAACAATGGATTTCTGTTCACTAGACAAGTTAAAGTTAATCCGTATTCCAAAAAGGCACTTATTTAGATATTCTTTAAATTTCTAGTTAACTTTGAGTTTGGCAAATTATGAATCTGCATAACAATTCAGCATCCACATTTACACTGTAGATTTTGGGTGCACGTTTAAGCACATCTTTATTTCAGTACCTCATCATTTGGATTCATTTTATCGATGTAAGATTAAATAATTTCATGATGTGAAAGGAAAAGGCGACATATCCTTTTTAGCTGCTTGGATTTAACTCCCAGCCAGGGGGCAGCACAAGTGGACCCCGACGGAAGAAGACCACGTGGAGGCCACAGGGAGCAGGAAGCTTTCTTAAAAGCATCCTTTCTAAGTCTGAGCAGGGCCCGAGGGTGGCCAGGAAGCTCTTGCCCAACTTGGGCGAGGTCCGCTGAAGGACTTCCCAATTATCCAACGTCTCTGCTGCAGCTTCCTCAAGCACCTAAGAAATACCGCCCGCCGTTGTAGCGGAGCAGCGACGGGGTGGCCACCAAGATGCTGGGCTGCAGACCGCGAGGCGAGGAGGGCGAGGGGCCGCCGCGGGGGGAGGGGAGGAAGGGCACGTCCCGGGCCTTTCTTCGGGTCCTGCCCCTCCCTCCACTTTGGTTAGAGCCCGGCTGGAACGCGCACCCGGGCCAGGTCTCTCCCTCCCGCGAACCTTGCACTCGGATACTGATGGAAAAGCGCCCTCCAGTTCCCCGCCACGCGTGGGTCGCGTGCGCTGCGGACTTTCCGGGCCCAGTTAGCCCGCCCCGCGATCACTCGCTGACCCGCACCCTCCCCTACGCAGAGAAGCCCGAGTCCCACAGGTGCGCCCGCCGCCGCACCCCGGCCTCCCGCCCCGCCCGGCCCGCCCGGCCCGCCCGGCCCGCCGTGGGCCGGGAGCCTGCACGTGCCCACCGCCCCGCGAGCCCAGCCCGCCGCCTCTGATGACGCCCGCCCCCGAAGCTGGAAACCCCGCGCCGCCTACACTGCAGCTCCTCCCAAGGGCCCCTACCTGGCTGCTGGATCTCGTCTCCAAGGAAAGAAGCGGAGGGTGCTGCAGACACCGAGAAGAGCGTTAAGCCGGAGAGGTACCTGCGCCCCGAGTCCGCGACCTGCTCTCTGCGCCGCCGCCCCGACTTCCTACGCAGCCCCAGAGGCTCCGCCCCTTCCCGCCTCCGGGGGACGCCCCCTCACCGTCGCCTCGCCATTGGCCAGGCGCGCCGTCACTCTGGTCCTCGCCTCCCGGGAAGGGGTGGGACTGCGGCTGCCGCCGCGGCCAGAAAATAGGGGGGGGCGACGACCCGGGACGTGGGGCTGGAGGGCATGGTAGGCCCTGGGTCCCTAGCGTCTGTGGCGGGGTTCGGGTGAGCCCCCTGCGTTGGGACCCCCTGAGCCGAGCGGGGGCCGGCGCAGCCGGGGCCCCGGGGAGGGGCGTGGCGGCGCGGCCGGCATTAGGACTTGGGGCTCCGGCACGTACTCCAAGTCCTGCACGCACTCGGCGTCGCTCTGGCACTACACGTCCGGCCCACGACCTTGGTGACGACCTTCTTGGCCCGGCCCTTCTGCTGCCTCAGTGTGGCCACGAGGTTTTGGAGAAGCCGGCGGGGTCCAGAAGTTGAGCGGCTGCGCCCGCGCTCCACTCTCGCGAGGGGCCCGCGGGCCACGTGCGCCTGCGTGCCTCGCTGCGGGGCCTGGCTGCCGCTAGCCACCCGCCAAGGTGACCCCGTCTCTTTGTCCTTGCTCCCAGGCTCAGACTCGAGTCTCAAGCCAAGGTAGCCAAAGGCAGATTCACTTTCCCTTGATGTTACTCAATTTTATTTACATATATGTATATTTTAGTTGTTGAACCTTTGTTCATTTATTTATATGCGGTGCTGAGAATGGAATCCAGAGCCTCACACATGCTGGGCAAGCATTTTACCACTGAACAACAACCCCAGCCCACAACTCAGTAAGACTTTTTGTTGTTGCTGCGGCTTGAACCCAGGGCCTCAGGCATGTAGGCACAAACCTTATCTCTCAGCTAGCTCTCAGCCCTTTCTAATGATTTTTCTTTTCTTTGGTGCCTGGAATTGAACTCAGGGGCACTCGACCAACTGATCTACATCCCCAATCCTATTGTATTTTATTCAGAGACAGGGTCTCACTGAGTCTCTTAGCATCTCCATTGTGGAGGCTTGCTTTGAACTCACATCCTTCTGTCTCAGCCTCCAGGCCTCTGGGATTACAGGTGTGCCCGGCTAATGTTGCATTTTAAAAGGAAATTTCATATCCCCTCATCCTCCCCACCCGCCGGGCATTAGATCAGATTTACTTGTGAACATACATATAATGACTTGGGATTGAATAGGCCAGAAGGTTCAAGACAAGTAATATTCCATGGTGGTTTGGCAAATGAAAAACAGGAAGTATTGGGTGGGGTCATTTTTATCTTTCCAATCAAGAAAGAACTGATAGAGCTAATTGGCACATACCTGTGATTCCAGCAATTTGGGAAGTGGAAGTAGGAGGATCCCAAATTTGAGACCACCCTGGGTGACTTAGCAGAGACTCTTTCAACATTTCAAAAAAAGGGCTGGAAATGGTAACTCAGTGGTAGAGTGCCCCTCAGTTCAATTCCCAGTAACTAGCATACACATAAACCTGATAACTATTAAAAATCAGCTCTGTGGGGGCTAGGGTTGTGGCTCAGTGGTAGAACACTTGCCTTACACAAGTGAAGTACTAGGTTTGATCCTTAGCACCACATAAAAATAAATAAAGGTATTGTGTTCATTTACAACTAAAAAAATAAATTTTTTTTTTTTAAATCAGCTCTGCTATTCACACACTCCACCCCAAGGATCATTTTCTTTTTATTTATTTATTTATTTTTGTGGTGCTGGGGATTGAACCCAGGGCCTTGTGTATGCAAGCACTCTACCATCTGAGCTATATCCCCAGCCCAAGGATCATTTTCTTTTTTTTAATATTTATTTTTTAGATGTAGATGGACACAACACAATGCCTTTTATCTGGTGCTGAGGATCGAACCGGAATCCGGGTCCCACCCGTGCTAGGCAAGCACTCTACCGCTGAGCCACAATCCCAGCCCCCAAGGATCATTTTCTATTATGATCATTTTTGTGTTTTCTCAGGTCTAAATCTGAGAGCTAAAGCAATGTCATGCACCTCCCTATTTTCATATTGCCTTCCATAAAGGGGCTCAAATAAATTTATTGTACCTTCTGGTCAGCTACAAAAGCTGCATTTCCTCTTCAACCTCTAGCATTGTGGTCCCTGGAGCTCCTGGCCAGTGTTTCCATAGCATTGGGCAAAAGTGGAGGGCTATGAAGTCCATGGCATTTGCTCCTGATTAAGAAGCAACAGGAAACTAAAATGTTTCATTAAAGAATGTTATGAATTTTGCAAACAGTTTTTGATTTCACCAGCAATACACTGGAGTTTTTGGCTGCATAAAACCAGCCCCATGACTCAGCAACTAAATCAAGTTCTAAGCCTTAGGAAATCAGACAGATCTTCTTTTCAGAGCAATTTTAAGGTGTGGTCCTGAAAATGCTCCAAACAATCTTTTTTTATTTTACATTAAAATGGTTAGATAAAGATAGACCAACAGGGCTCTTGTAACTGATGTCTGGCCAGAACTGGTGAATCTAGGAAGAATTAAATGCAGAACATGATCTCAGACAGCTGCTGTTTCAACATTCTTGGAGGCCTCCACGCAGCATTCTGGGCCAGCACTTTGACCTCAAGTTACACCTCAAATGTTAATGATTAGTAGAGATGTTCTCAAACCATTTCCAAAATCCACAGGCTGCCAAATGCCCTCCTCATCTTCACAGCTCCTGGGACTTCCATTACAGGCTATGGGTTCATATTTGCCAACAGTCAGCACCAGGCTATTTACCTTGTTACAGGCATTTAGTTGTTACTTTTCACTTTCCTGAAATTGTTGAGCAATTTTTTTACTTTTCAAAGGCATTCATATAGCTGGTGTGCAAGGAGGGGGAATGAATGTGCAAGGCTATTGGAATGCCATTGTGTGTGTGTGTGTGTGTGTGTGTGTGTGGCTGGGGATTGAATCCAGGGTTTTACACAAGCTGGGCAAGCACTCTACCACTGAGCTACATGCCCAGTTTTGGAATACCACATCTTGAAGTTCTGCAATATATTTGTAATTGGATCCCAAGATTGAAGGAATGTGTATCTGCAGCAGTCTATTACTGATTCCAGTATCCGTAGTATTTATGTGAAAACCCATGGTCAGCTGAGAAATACCTCTTGATGAAAGAGGGTCTCTAGTCAGACAGCAAAATCAGGGAAGGATGAGGGGCTCTCAGAGAGCTAAGATACTATATGAATGCAGAAGGCTCCCAGGGGAGGATCTTGAAGGATGATCAGTCCTCATCAGAGATGAAGAGGGGTCCAGGTATATAGCTCAGTGGTAAAGCATATGCTCAATATACAAAAGGTTCTGGGTTCAATTCCCCAGCAACAAAAAACATCCAAGAGGTTTTTGTTCATCCCTAAGTATTTCATATACACCAGAGATGGCATAAAGTGAATATAAATTTGTGTACACTCAGGCTGGAATGTGGCTCAGTTGGAGAACACCATCTAGCATGCTTGAGGCCCTGGTTTGTATCCCCAGCACTGCTAAATAAATATGTCATGTTCTTACCTCCAGCTCAGAAATGGAACACTAACAGTCTATTAAGATTCCTTGTGTTCTCTGGCTCCAGAAGTAACTTTATGGTTTGTTTTTGTTTTGTTTTTTATTTTGAGACAGGGTCTTCTAAGTTGCTGAGGATGTGTTTGGACTTGCAATCTTCCTGCCAGAACCCTCCCAAGGTGCTGGGGTCATAGGTGCACGCCACCATGTCCTATGCTTTTCTTTTTGTTTAATATTTTTTAGTTTTCAAAGGACCTTTATTTTATTTATTTATACACGGTGCTGAGAATTGAACCCAGCGCCTCACACATAATAGGCAAGCATCCTACCACTGAACCACAACCCCAGCCCCCATGTTTTTCTTAAAAAAAAAAAAAAAAAAAAAAGGTTTTTAACAGTTTTTTTGAACTTTATATAAATGACATCCTATTGTTGGTAAATTTCTGTTACAATTTTTTTTTTTTTTGGAGGTACTAGGGATTGAACCCAGAGGTGCTTTACCACTGAGCTATATATACCCAGGCTCCCCTTGATTTTGGTACCAGGGATTGACTCCAGGGGCACATCCCTGGCCCTTTTTAAATTTTTTGAGGCTGGTCTTGAGCCTGACTCTGCTGGTGTGCACCACCACATCTGGTTTTGCTCCAGGTGTTTTGCACAGCTTGATGTCTGTGAGCTCTGTCTTTGAGGCTCCTTTCCTCTCCAGCTCTGTCATATTCCACTTGTGAGCAGCACACATTCTGATGGCCATGCACTTCTGTTTGCTTCCATTTCTGCTTTCCCGCTTAATACCAGCAGGGTTTATTACTATGAACTTAGTTGTGGATGTCTTCTGAGCATAGGAGCAGGAATTTCTCTAGGTCTTACACCTAGGACGTGCACCTAGATGTGGGATTGCTGGGTCATCTTCAATCTTGGTCTCTAAAGTATTTATATCTTTATGCATTTCTGCATGCAGTGAGCATATATGAGGTCCAACCCAGTTTTGTTTTGTGTTTTGGGGGGAGGAATCAAATCCAGCTCTTTGCATTTTTTCTAGAAATTAAATCCCCTTTGATTTCAGTTTACCAGCCTTTCAAAGTCCTCTATTTAAAGAAACATGTTTCCTCTCTGTAAATTGCAGTTAGCCTTTTGGATGGCTTTGAGGGTACTTGTTAGGGCTTCTTGCTGTCAATAGTCCCGTTCTGATGCCTTTTTTTTTTTTCCTTTTGATTTTTTGATGATACTATGGATTGAACCCAGGGGTGCTCTAGCATGGACCTCCCTACCCCTTCTTAGGTTTTTTTTTTTTTTTTTTTTTTTGTACCAGGGATTGAACCCAGGGGTGCTTAACCACTGAGCCACATCCCCAGACCTTTTTTATATTATTTAAAGACAGGGTCTCACTGAGTTGCTTAGAGCCTCACTAAGTTGCTGAGGCTGGCTTTGAACTCATGATCCTCCCAAGCCGTTGGAGTTACAGGTGTGAACCATCA